ATCTGTTGCCAGTTATCCTAAAGACAAAAATGCAAGGTCTGCGCAAGCAGGTACGTTTAATCTATTCCACAGCAAAAAGCGTGCACCTGTGGAACGCCAATCCCGGTAGAACTACCCGACACCTACTTGGAGCGTGACTTTAGCCGCGTGACTCTACTAAGTGTGAGACGATGGACAGAACGTTACTATGTGCTCTTTAAAAGGACCAACAACGAAGGTGAGCTAAGCAAGCCCTCTGCATTAAATAACTGTTTTGACAAAATTGCCGGCTCTATTGCTGACAACTTGGCTAAGGTCGAATACTGGTGTGAGTATCTTCTAAACTATGACATTCAACCCAGCGTGTCCTCGTTCTCGTCTACAGTGGAGTCCCCTTCCTCTCTAATCTGTCCAGTGTCATGCGAACCGCTTTCTGAAGAATCCGCCAATGCCATACAAAACCTGCACAACAAGGCTCTCATAGATGACGGTACACCCGCTTAAATCTACAAGTCCTGTGTCCTGACTCTATTAAGTGATTGAAAAAGCATGGAGACAAGGTCGTTCGTGAAGACTAAGGCATCCCTGAACCTTGTTACAAGAAGGAAAATAAGAGATGCGAGAAATACCGCGACATAAACCTCGCCAACACTACCGTTAGATGTTCGCTATATACCTACTCGGGCGATTCACAGCTGTGTGACTCTAGGATTAGGCCTAACAAAGCCTTATTCCGTGCTGGGTGTGGGTGTGCAAAGTTGATCTTCACAGCAAGGTGCCACCTTAAATTCCACCACAGGTACCAAAAGCCTATAGTTATCTGTCCTGTAGACGCTGCTGCAGTGAACCACTACGGCGAGTAACGCCGCTTTATCATATACTGGCAAAAATCACCGCAAGCATCGAGGTCTCTTACTGCTCACCACTGCACAAGTTCTAGTTCACAATAATCTCTCACAAGCTTCTGGTAGTCGGTCTGGCGTTCGACAAGACTGTATCCTGTCGCCTATCTTGTTTATTTACGCTGGATTCTCGGGAAGGTGTTAGTTTGCGCTCGGACGCCGGCTGATGATACCGCATTGCTATCTTTAAACTTTAGTGACCTGTAGTCTATGGTGTCACGGGAGAATAAGGTCGCTAATCCAGGAAGTTTGTCCATAAACACTGGGAGGACCAGTGATTTTGGGTGCGTCCCTGGACCAGAAGAAGGCGCCTCTGCAGGTTAATAGATTGCAAGTTGAAGCACAGTTTCAAATACCTTAGGATGAGACTGCTGCCAGAGTAAGGATGAAATTGTCTCCGCATCGCCAGGTTTTCACAAGCCTTAGAAAGTGCCTATGGATTCGACGCGAAATCCCTATCGTCACGCATATTCGCATGTACCGGACAACTGTACGGTCTGTCCTTCTCTGTGGTTGAA